TAAATACCTCGATATCGTTCCAACTATTTAATTTCAAAATTGTTTTATTCGGTCAGGTATCTGGCGTGAAATCAACGGCTACCTGAACACATAGCACACGACGCCAGCGCGTTATAAAGTGTCATGATGGCGGCAGACGATCATTCGCAAATGTAAAATGAGTTCGATAATTGCACGGAACAATGGCACCGTTTATTTATAAGCCGTATCGTTTTCTTACGGCTGATTATCTTGCAACGTGTACGCTTGTCGATCCGTCCTCGTACACTTTCATCGGCGTCGCTCATGAGCGATCTGACTTTCAGATAGTTTATCGATCTGCAACGCTTACATTTTCGCTTATCGCGCCACTTGTAAACGAGAATCTTGCATTCTCATCGTGACCCTGTTCCTCGCCGTTACTCTGCACCCCTATCATCGACAATTACCTTCAAGATTCTTCCTTCGAACGTGTTCTTTCACACGACAACCTATTCCACGATAAAATTGATTAATTATCGATTAACGGGTTGGTCAAGATGTCGTTGTGTAATTTATTTGTTGACGTTTTTTTCTTTTGCAAATGTGTGTTATTTGAATATTACACTGTGTCTTGTTAGATTCATTTATACATTTAAAAATTTTCAAATTCTAAAATTTTAACAATACCACATTTTTAAATTCTTTATAACAAATGTCCACATTTCTTAATTCTTAAAATTCCACAAGTTCTCAAAATTCTCAAAATTCCTCCAGTTCTAAAAATTCTTAACATTCCTCCAGTTCTAAAAATTCTCAAAATTCCTCCAGTTCTAAAAATTCTTAAAATTCCTCAAGTTCTCAAAATTCTTAAAATTCCTCAAGTTCTAAAAGTTCTTAAAATTCCTCAAGTTCTAAAAATTCTTAAAATTCCTCAAGTTCTCAAAATTCTTAAAATTCCTCCAGTTCTCAAAATTCTTTAAATCCTCCAGTTCTAAAAATTCTTAAAGTTCCTCAAGTTCTCAAAATTCTTAAAATTCCTCAAGTTCTATAAATTCTTAAAATTTCTCCAGTTCTAAAAATTTTTAAAATTCCTCCAGTTCTCAAAATTCTTTATATTCTCCAAATACCCCAAATATACTAAGTGCCCCCAAAAAAGTGGTGAATTGACAAAATTTGTCATCTTGAGTGTGTTAGAGAATTTACCCTATGAAGATTTACTATTCTCGTCAGTGGATCGCGTGTGTTATGATCATCTATATACATTTCCAAGTCAGGTGCTATGTGTATTTCTGCATATGACACGGGTGATTCACGAAACCTGAACATGAACGCACAAAGCATGACACAGACGTCGCTTACGATACACGACCCTGTACAAATATTAAATGCAGGCAATCATGATACGCATTATGTTCGGAGTTTAACGTATCATTGCACATTACATATTTAACAAAAATAATATGTGCACGTTTAAAATAGGGAAAGTAATGAGCCAGTCTCAAAAATTGTTTAAACAATTCTGAAACAAGAACTGTAGCCTTAAAATTGAGCTTCCATTAAAATATCCTAAGAATTAGAAATTGTACAATAAAATTCAATGGTCAAACTTCTAATATTGAATTTAGGTCATTGTGCATACTTCACTGTGGCGTAAAAGATATCAAAAAAATGTATTCTAAATATAGAGTATTTTTAAGATGATGTAATACAACACATATTCCAATATTATCTAAGAATATTACGTGTTTCTATTACCAGCTAATCCGATTGCGTGGCAAATACCAAGTGACCGTTAATATAACGCAAATATTCGAACCGTGTCAAGAATAAAAGAAGAAGTAACAGTAAGTCTGACAAATAGTAGGGAAAGTGTCGTAAATGAAGCAGATCGCAGACATCGGTTACGTAGTATCGTTAATACGAGCTGTTGGTAAATCCGCGAAAGAAAAGTCACGTAATCTCGCGCCATAAATTCCGTCAGATTGCTTCCTAAGAGTTTTATCGGAAAGATTGAACAGATCAGACGAACTACTCTAATCGAAGTCTAATCCCGACCGAGAAAGCGTTTCGTTCCTGTTCTTTTATATCAGGTGTTTAAATCGCTCGCGAGATAACACGGTTCTATACCAATTTCCGCGGCTAAGCTTCTTCTACGAGCCGCCGTGAACCAATGAAATATACAGGTGGCGTAAATTCTAGGGTGCAACCATTCCTGGAACAAGAGCGTGGATAATTGAAGCGGATGCAATCCGGGAGAGCCGAGGTGCCGAAACGGGTCTTAAACGAGTTCGAAAGATGAGATAAGAACCCCCATAATAGTCCTCAAGATGAATTGCATCGTGCATAAAGGGTTGGGTACGTCATATTTTATGACTCATTTTCGGGCTCTTTATCTTCGTTCTTTCTATTTAATTTGACGTTCCTCGTTCAGTTTCTGCAGGCTAAATTATTAGACATTTGAGGTTTCAGGGCTCTGAGAATTTAGAAGTTTGAGAAACTCGAACAATTTGAGAATTCCAAGATACAAAGATGTAAGAACTTAAGAATTTGAACGTTTGGGGAGTAGAATCTTTGAGAGTTAGAATTTTGCAAATTTGAAGTCTTGGGATGTTTGAGATATTTGGGAAATTGCACATCTACCAGTTGGAAAATTTGAAGTTAGAACCTTCAGAAATTTAAGAATTTAAGAAATTTCGAAAGCAGACATTCTGAAAGTTTCAATTCACCTTTCATCCCCTATTTAAAGTAACTCAAATTCCTCGTTCAAAAGTCTAGTATTAAAATTCCCTCCTGCGAATAAATTAGTATTATAAGGATTACGGTGAACCGTCGAAAGTAAAGTTACGCCTCGAGCAGGGGATAATATAGCGGCAATTAAAAGGAATCCGCTAATTCGCTTGACAATTTACGTAACAATTTTTTTGCAATGCTATTTCGAGCGCGACGCAGCGCAGAGCGGAGTGGCGCGGCGTTCTCTGCGGAGAACGACCAGTATCTCCGCGGTCGGTGCATCGAACCCCGCGATCGGTTCCAAGATTGAGATAAGCGGCTTGCGAAGAAATAAGTAGTTTAAGCCTGTTCGCGTGGCCGCAGATTGGTCTGACGTCGCTTGCCACCGGGAAGTGGGGATGTTTTATGCATGGAGCCAGCGTTATGCATCATTCCAGGTGCATCTCGAACAGAACCCGTCGAACTCTGCTTCAGTGCAAGAGACACGTTACGCTCGATTGACGAACAGTGTTCTCGATATTAAAACATCGGTTGTAAAGCCAAACCCAACAAGTGCACGCACGTCAACAAGTGTACACGTTCGCGCACAATAACGATACGTAATTAAAATTCGACAAGTTCCACAATGGAATGTGGAAAGAAACGGACACGATACGGAATTTGATTATTGTTCACGATGTTGAAGTTGTCCACACGAATTAACTCTTTCGCTTAAACGTATGGTTTTGGATAGATGTAGATATCGTGCCGTTTTTATGCTGGCAGGTGCTTAGAATAGTCAATTGTGTTCGAATGTTTTGTACTTCTTGTGCCGATTAACGGCTGTCGCTCGATTAACAGCGCAGCATCTGAAGGACATCTGATCGAGATCGATATGTTTGTATTGTTAATGCATGTGAGTATCGGTGCCGTACTGTTATCAATCAAAGTACATACATGGTGGAAAATATGTACTGGATGATACAAAATTCGTGGTACACCGTGCGGTGATTCGAAAGAATCATGTTTTTTCATATTCTGTTTTCGATGAAACTGAATTTAATTCTTTTGAAGAATTTAATCAATTTTTCAGAGTATTTTTATAAGAAATTAAAGATGACAATTTGAACCATTTTTGTATTAATTTAATCATTCATAGATGTGATTTAATGAATTGTAACAATTATGGTTAGTTCAAATTATTATTAGTCAGTGTCTTTTATCATATTGTCATACTACTTACATTTATCAACTGACATGTACATTTATCCGTTTACTTGTATATTTATCTAATGGCATGTACATTTATCTGCTTACATGCGTATTTATCATACTTCTATCGTGCTAGTATATCAACTGCATATTCCAGTATCGATAGCAACGTCGACAGTATATTAGCAATGTCATGAACAATAATATCTGACATTTTCCCGATGCTAATACTTGCATTCACAGATTCATATTCTAACGTTGAAAACTTGCTTTTCTGTCGCAAGCAAATTTTATTACACACGTATTAAACACTTTTCACAACGAAGCAAGGTACGAAAAAATATTATTCTTATTTTTGTACTCATTTCTGAATACATTAACCATACGAACATGTCGATGTCGATCTGACGTTCTTCAGATGCTGCGTTGATAAATAGACAACTCTTATTTTTTAACTTGCAGATTGTATTTTTAATAGAAATTATTCACCTTGATTTTTAGAAGTACGTCAATAAATATGACAGATGAAGTTATTTTAGCCAGAAGTTTTACAAAACTGCGACAGCCTGTACATGGTGTCGAAGAGCACACTAGTCTGTTGTCTACTACGTTGATTTCTAATCTCCCGTTTATTTTATTACATCAGTCACATCTTTTAGTATGATCATTTTTATTGCTATTCATTCTCATTCCTTCTAGTTCCATACATGCAATTAAAATCAATACAAAATGCATGGTATGTTGATTCTCCAAATTTCCTACAACAATGAAACATCTAAAAATGTTGACTCTGTGCAATTCTGATAACGCAGTGGCGTATTGTAAAAATCTGAGGTGATATCTCGGTCATATAAATTGTCGGTGATCAATAGGCTACCGAAAAAGAGTATCGTCATCGAAAGAGTTAAAGCGTAAGAGACAAACGGGTGAAAACGTAAAGTCGAAGAGACAAGGGAATCGCGTGACGATCTTCGGCAACGGGGATGTTAGAGGAAAGCGTGGTGGTGGGGAAAGGTTTGAGGGAGAGTGGGGGCGTGCGTTACGCAGGATTTAGGGTTCTACGTGGTGGTGTGGAGCCACGAGAAGCGTGGTGCTCGAATCGTGGTGGAGAAGCAGCCGACAGCAGCAGCAGCACACACGGTTTCGCCGCTGCGGAGAAGCCTCGCTGCTCTCGCTCGGAGCAGTCTGCGGCGATCATCGCTCCTCACGGTGTTCCGTATGGCCATGCGTCGTCCCGACATTCTCGATACCACGCTCAAATTCATCGTCGACCCTGCGCGACACTCTACCGTCGCCGTCGCTCCCGAAGAAGACACCCTGCGACACGAGAACGGTGCTGGAGAACGAAATTCCGCTTGCGTTCGAAAAACCGAGGTACCACGCGCGTCTGACCGACGAACCGATGCACGCTCGAGGAGTTCTCAAAGCTCCGAAGAGTTTCGCGAATTAAGGCCGTCCGGAGAGTGCAAACGCGGTGGTGAATCGACGCTCGGTAAACGGTTCGAGGACACCGAACGGACGGTATTCGTTGACGTTTTCTTGATCCACGTCGCACACGCACCCCGAAGTCGCCACGCGGGAGGACCAACTCGCACGCCGGGTCCACCTATCGCTCGACGACTCGACGATCGAGTCAGTGTTACTCTTGATTTCCGCGCGAGCGCCGGTCTCGGCTTACCGGAGACGATACCCACGCTCCGCTTCATTCGTTTTCGACGATCCTCGCCGTTTCGCTCGCCGTGCGATCGTACCCGTCAAACGGATCCTCGGGGAAAATCGAGCCAAGTGCAGTTCCGCGGTTTCGATCCCGTACGCGTCGTGTGAAGGGAAGAAAATGTTCGGTGTTATCGATTTATGGAGTTTCGTTTACACGATAATCTTATGCCGGAGACTTGCCGGAAGACTCGAGGAACGAGCGTGTCCGTATAGTCAATTTATATGGTGATTCTTCGTAATAATCCCCCTCGGATCATCGGATTATACGCGGATGGACGATCGAACGTTAGACGAAATGTTCAGTTTCAAGGTGAACCAGTGAGATTTCCGTGGCACAGTTATATCCGTATTTTCCACCGAAAACCACGGAGACGTTTCCCGAACGAAAGAAACTCTGCTTACGATGTTCGCTTTTGTGCTCCGACTACGAATACGTCGACTAATATACACTGGGAGATAAACCGTTATCGAAGTATGTGTACCGTGATCTGTATCGATTCGATAAACGTAATTCTTCCGTTATTTTCATGCCTCGAGAGGAATTCGATCGCTCTTTTCCCGATCGTGCTCGTTTTCGTTATCGACGCACGCGGTCGCCGACAATTCGGATACGCGCGTTTTTACGAGAAGGAATATCGGTGATTCAGTTTCGACATCGATGCACGCCGTCGTGAGAAAATGGGAAAATCGTTCGGAACGGTTACGTGCACCAGCAACGACGGTTACGACAAGAGGTGATAGACGGAAGTGAAAAGATCGCGAGTGGCGCCAGTTTAATTTCTATCCTCCGATATAATTATTCGGACCAACCTGAACGAGTATTACGTAACGTCAAGAAGAAATTGTACCATCGCGTATGCGTGTGTCCACGCGTGAAGAGTCTTGAATTTCGTGCAAACGCGATAATGGCGGAGCGGAGGAGAGCAGAATGCAAGAACGGGAAATTCCGACTGGTGAATTCTGCGATTTATGAAAAAGGCGCGACGCAACGGTCGCGTTAGAACGATCAACAAGAAGGTAACAGGTTTTGCAAGAGGATTCAGAGCGCTCGAAACGAAGCCGAACACGAACCGAAGAATCCATCCGATGACAACGGATCGATGATAAACATTCCGCGTAATCTTGTCGCTCGATCATCCCCTCGAATGACACGGAGTATAAAATAATCGGTTATCAGCGACTAGATAACGAAGCCGAGCGATCGGATCGCGATCGATCCCGAGAAACGAAAATTACAGGAGATCCGAAGGAAACTCCGTTTTGCCGCTGGGGGGCAGGTTTCGTGGCCGCGCAGGATCGGAAGGAAGTAACGTATAGTTCTCGTCGTTAGCATCTCGGAACGTCATATATCTTGGCAGTAATGCGCACAAATTATGCGTCTCGCGCCTCCACGGAGCAACGGCCACTGAGAAGCGAACAGCGGTTGCGCGTTTACACTTACGGATAATCCTGTATCCGCCGATTCGCCTTTACCTTTCTACTCGACGGTTCCCACTGCCTTTTCTTTCCGTTTTGTTTCGTCGTCGAACAAACGATCCGTCCGAACGACGCTTCGGGCGTCGTTCATGTTCGTGAAATTCGGTCTGCTTCGACACTGACGCCTCCGAGGGCCACATCATGCATTCCTCGTCTACGTGACGTGTTGCACCTTCCCCAGGATGAGCACAGTGCACGCCATGTGACCCTTGCAGAACTCTTTCGTGATCGATTATGCAGCGAATTTTTATTAAACTTACCGATCCTTTTAAAACTGTTTAGGCGTGTAAAGTGTGCACCGGATGATAGAATTCCCGGAGAAAGTGCGAAAGTGATTTTTTGGATGCGAGACTTTGATGGTTTCGTGGACTCGTGCTTCGTATTGCATCGGAAAGGAATTTTCGGATCGAAGAAATTGAGAAGTTATAGAAGGATACCGTTCAAATATTGTGGGATTATCTTTCTGGAATTCTCGTGACACTGTCGCACAGCTGTCAGTGAAAATAGGAAACATCGAATACCGTTACTCGGTATCCTACCGAGGGGTCCGTTTACCTAGATCCCGAATGTGGCAGGCACGTGTCGGCAGTGCAATTACTTGACGACGATTGTCAACTGACTGGAAAATTTCTGAAATACCGCGAGTCATATTTCTGCATTTACCGTTTTCAACGAATCCCCTGTGAGTTTAAGTACTTACAAAATAACGATTAAAGAACTCGATGGTTCCGCATTTAAAGTTTGTAACAAATGTTTCATTAAATTAGTGGATTAAAATTTTGAATGGGTTAAGAATATTTTTCCACGAAAAGGTGTCGATGGTGAAATTGTTCAGTGAAGAAAAACGACAAGTTTTCGCCAGAGATTCTCGAAAGGAAACATCGTGCTTGTGTTGAGAATAACGTCTGTGGATTTTCGCGGCGAATTTTCTACGAATGGTACCTGTAGGAATTCGCGCGACGCTGCTTTTGGTGAGTACTCGCCATTACAATTGGAATGTATTAGTTGGAAAGCATGTCCGATTGATTCAGTACCCGGTGGAATTAAGCTCTCTAGACTGAATCGTATAAATAGGTCAGAATTTGCATTCTAATGTTTAATTATGTAAGACGGCCGATTGTGTTTGTATATAGTCTGGCCACACGTTGCTTTTCAATTTACGCTTATTACCGTGGAACCAAACTACTAGGAACACGACCATTTTATTTGAAATACGACACAGAACGTGTTTATAAATGAAAAGTTTATATCCGTATTTAGAAAGCTTCTATTTCATACATTTAATATTCTTCTTTATTGCTTATGACTCTTATGCGCGGGAAATACAAAAGTCAAACGTAAAGACATCGAATAATTTAATTAGAAATTTTATTAAGATCTGTATTCGTTGCAACAACTCTTGTAATCTATTGTTAAATATTTTAAAATATTTATGTGGTGCTTTATATTCAATGTAATAATTTTTTAACTAAAATAGTTATACAAAATATCATTTTTAATTATATTTATTGTAAGAACTTTTGACGGAAATGGAATTTTAAATGATCGAAATTCCAAGAAGAATTACACGCAAAGAATCGAATTAACTTATTAAAGAATCGTGTGATTTCTGGAAGAAAACGTTTGAAACCACATTTGCTAAGGAGTAAAGAATTATTCAAATCAAATGCAATCGCGCAGTTTTATCGATTGAAAGGTCACAGATCGTTAAAACAAAAGATCCATTGTCGTTGAAGTATCCAACACATTTTGACACGAGGTCTGTTTTATTACATATGTAGGAATGATGTTCGCTGATTAATTACAGATTGTGTCGCATAAGGCACGAACAAAACGTCTGTCCGTATACACCAGACACGGAATCAAAATTCTGATCACGACGCGAATGAACGTTCGTTCGTTGACTCTGTTATTCAAGTTTCGGCGAATTTGTGTTCCGCATCGTTGCATCGTTTCACATAATAAAACATTCTATTTCGTTCCTGTCTGTCTCGTAAAATCAACGGTATTAAAAGTTAGGAAACTTGGCATGAATAAAACTTTGTTCTTGTAACTAGCACGCACACTGTTGCCACATTAATGACTCAGCAATTAGAATCCAGGTTATTGTTATTCTTACCTGTGAATGCTGAGTTTTTTAATTAGAGTGATGTTTAATGGAAATTTAGAAATTTTTTGGTGAAAATTTCTGAACCTTAAATTTTTCAAATTGGTAAATTTTCAAATTAGTAATTTTCCAAATTTCTGTATTTGCCAATTTCTAATTTCCTCATTTTCCAATTTCCCCAATTTCCAATTTCCTCAATTTCCACTTTTCCTAATTTCCAATTTCCCCCATTACTAAATTTCCCAATTTCCGCTTTTACCAATTTCCACTTTCCCTAATTTCCATTTTTCCCAATTTCTAAGTTTCCCAAATTTCTAATTTCCACTTTTCCCAATTTCCCCAATTTCTAAATTTCCTAATTTCCACTTTTCCCAATTTCCAATTTCCCCCATTTCTAAATTTCCCCAATTTCCAATTTCCTCAATTTCTAAATTTCCTAATTTCCAATTTCCCCAATTTCCAATTTCCAATTTCCTCAATTTCTAAATTTCCAAATTTCCAATTTCCCCAATTTCTAAATTTCCAAATTCCTAATTTCCCCAACTCCTAAATTTCCACATTTCTAATTTCCCCAATTTCTAAATTTCCAAATTCCTAATTTCCCCAACTCCTAAATTTCCAAATTTCAATGTTCCAAAACTCTAAATTTCGAATTTCCAAATTTCCAAATTCCTAATTTCCCACTTAATCTCCATTACATTACCACACAATGTGTCCTCACTCTTTGTATCTCAAAATACTCTCTCCATTTATTCCCTCTCGTCATATTGCCGTTCTCAAACCACCCATATCCAATACTCGCCTCCAAAAAATGTTCTCTAAATATTTCGCAATGTAAATAAAGATAAAATCGTTAATCTTAACCAGCAAGTTGAAAGCTACAATCAACCCCACATCAATTTTTGCTATTTTGTCATCGATATTTATTTCTGCGAATATCCATACAAGATCACAGTTCCCTGTGATTATTTATCATGATAAGTATCCTTTCGCGAAACACGTACACTCACTGCGATGCTTTGTTGATTAGCCATTACTCCACTTACGATGCCGCCGCGGCGCAAAATTACCATGAATTACCATACACGATAAGAGTGACGTTAGCAGCCTATATGTACTTACTTCAAATGTATCCAAAGGTATTCAATCGTTACCTATTGCGAAATTCTTGTAGTCGTAGGTATTGTACGCACTTCAACGCACTTCGATTAGATTGCATATTCGAATAAATTAACAGTTTGGTGTTTGAGCGTGTAATACTTCAAAAGTATAGGTATTTTATTGTGTATGTGATGGGATTAGTGAAGTATCGATATGTGAAGGAGCTTCATTTCTTGTGGACGGATTATTAAAATGTTTTCTTGGGAGAAGGATGTGTGAAATTAGAAATTGGGAGTTTGAGAATTTGAGGTTTGGAAATTGGGAGTTTGAGAGTTTGGGGGTTCGAGTACTTGGGGGTTTAAGAAATTAGAAATTTGAGAATTTGGGGGTTTGGGTATTTGGGGGTTTGAGAAATTAGAAATTTGAGAACTTGTAGATTTAAGTATTTGGGGGTTTGAGAAACTAGAAATTTGAGAATTTGGGGGTTTGAGAAATTAGAAATTTGAGAATTTGGGGGTTTGAGAAATTGGGAGTTTGAGAATTTGGGGGTTTGAGTATTTGGGGGTTTGAGAAATTAGAAATTTGAGAATTTGGGGTTTGAGAAATTGGGAGTTTGAGAAATTGGGAGTTTGAGAATTTGGGGGTTTGGGTATTTGGGGGTTTGAGAAATTAGAAATTTGAGAATTTGTAGATTTGAGTATTTGGGGGCTTCAGAAACTAGAAATTTGAGAATTCGGGGGTTTAAGAAATTAGAAATTTGAGAATTTGGGGGTTTGAGTATTTGGGGATTTGAGAAATTAGTAATTCAAGAATTTGGGAGTTTGAGGATTTGGAATTTAAGAATTTTTGGGGTGGAGGTTTGAAAGTTGGGGGTATGAGAATTTGGAAGTTTTAGAAATTGGGGTTTACAAACTTAGAAATATCAGAATTTGGGGATTTGAGGGATTGGGAGTTTCTGAATTTACAAATTTGAAAATTTGAAGCCTTAACTGGTATAGATATAGGGAATTTAAATGGTTGAGAATTTGATAGTTTCAGAAATTGAAGAGTTGAAAACTTTCAAGATTGAGAATTTATAAATTTGATTGACTGATTTCCCTTATAAGGACCTCGACTGATATAATCATTAGCTCATTTATGAACTTACAAAATTCAATTCTTAGTTGTATAACTAACTATTATCTACATAACTAATAATTTAAAAGCTTGAAAATTTCAAAATTCATGAACCTTGAACATCTAATAATTAAGTACCCTAAAACGTATAATGACCCCAACAACCTAGTTACGTCAGTGGTACACTTCCCGCCTCACACTATTTCATCAGCACCGCTTTGAACACGATAAGCACATTTCCATGTTCCAAACTTTGACTTCATTGTCGGTTTTTATTTCACCCACGTAATATTTGTTATACAATTATCACGAGTTTTTACCCTGGATATATTTGTATATGTTCAGGTTCTATCGCACCGTTGACGACAATTGTCTTATGTTAGCAGGAAGTAATTCTTATGTCAACGTTAAGGTCGATGACAATTTTCGGTCCTTTTAACGCTCGACTAACACGACGCTAATTTTTTCCGTACATTCGAATTCCTATCCCATTAGCTCTTCGATGGTTATCGTTATTTTCTTTGGGTACACTGTCGCAGGATAGAGGACATTTTGTATTCGTGTACATAGTCGGTTTTGGTACCAGTTTTGCTAACGTACTTGCAGGTTTTATTCATTTATGTCTATTGTACTGTATAGTAGAATGAGTTAAGTGTATATGAATATTATGAAACTTTTTGAAAGGAAAAACTTCAAGATTTATTTCCAGTTTCCTATATTTCCAGATCTTTAAGTTTGTAAATATCAAGGTACTTAAATATCAACGCCCTCAAAGTTTCCACATTTCTAAATTGTTATGTTTTTAAATTTCTAAAGTCCTATATTCGTAGACCCTCCAATCTTGCATATCTCAAATACCTAAATTCGCAAAGTAAACCTGCAAATTCCTAGACTCCCTCATTTTCACATTTCCAGATTCCCAGGTCTTCAAATGCTAAGGTACCAAATTACTGTGTCCCCAAATTTGATGTACCCAAACTTTCATTCCATCCAAGTAGCTTCAGAAATCTCTAAATGTCCACATCTCCAAAGTCTCCTAACCTCAACATCGTCAATTTCCTACTTCCCCAAATTGCTAAAACCCCAAATTCTCAGATCTTAATATCCACCCCAGAAAATCTCTACATAACCCACAAAAAGTGAATAAAAGTGAATCTGTCAGGTAACATCTTTATCACCCAAAAACAAAGAAATACTCCGCGTAACAAACTCGATCCCGTGGGTTAAGAAATGGAAGCGAAACGGGGTGCTGCACGTGCGAACAGATTGGATACGCGTCGATAATGATCGTCGGTTAATATCGGTATAAGAAACAATAAATTCGCGTGCGCAAATCGAGCAGGCGAGGTTCGGTATCATGAATGGTGGATAGAGGTGGAGAGCATGAAACGCGAGAGTGTAAATCGTGGTCTTACCGCGTTTCACCGAGACACGCCCCGTTAATTCGCGGGTTAAACGCGAATACCCGCCCAGTTTTCGGGGTGAGAAGAGTAGATTTTCTTTTCCCTTTTTAACAAGTTCCCGGCTAGTATCTCTCGTCTTCGTCTTGCAAGGGTGTTGCGCCAACAACGGAGGATCACGCTCCGACCTCTCGCCGATTTCCGATCAGGTTAAACAAACAGCGACTGGTTCTCACCTTTATCGCGA